GTACCTATACGAGTCTTGTGACTAAACTTTATCATACATCCTTAATTATTTCTTCAGAATTTCAATAAGTAATACTAAGGACATGCACCATTTTAAGGTTTTCCATAGAGATTGCCAAACTGCCTTCCAGAAAGGTTTGCCAACAAACATAGCCACCAACAGTGTACCAATCAATCCCATTTAAGACAATTCTCCAGAGAAATAAAATCAAATGACAACCCCAGGTTCCTGTCTCAGTTTTTGTTACATCAGGAAAGTTATGCCTTTCTCTAATGAAAAAGTACAGGCTCTCATTCTTTTGTTTATTACATGTTTATTCACCACCTGCTAGCAATGAGGCATTGTGTAGGCTCTAGAGAGGCAAAACCAAAGATAGGTTAAAAAAAAAAAAGAATTCAGAAGAACTAAAATCTTAAAAGCTATCTTCTTTCTGATTATTTTGTTCTTCATTTGTATGAAGTCATGCATGATGAATTGGGGAATAGACTCTAGCTCAGGAGGCTGGGGAGCTAGTGCTAAGTGATTTGGTTGAGTCATCTAATCATACATCTCTTCCTGAATCTTAGAAGCAGCAGAATAATGATGGATTGTTTATACGGCCCTGTCGAGCCTGGGATCTCCTGAGAGGGAGTCTTTGGTGGATGAACCTTGGTGACAGCATTAGAAAGATGTGAGAAAATCAACGCCTCCTACATGATTGACCTCTAGGGTGGCTGGGTTCTCATGGCAAGGTTTTGATCATCTGGAGAGTTGTATAACTAACTCCTGTTCAAAGGAAAAATTAAAATGAGGCTCTGAGATAAGAAGACTGAGGGTCAGGAGACCCGCATCCTTGTACTCCCACCAAATAGCTGTCAACACCCCGATAAGTCACAAAGCATATTGTTTGTAAAAGTGTTTGCAGTAATTCTGTTCCCTGAATTCACACCACTGGAAAGTTATCTCCAGCACTGATTTGGTTAGTCATGTCATTCTTTGCTTTGGCTAAAAGGAGCAAACACGATGAAGGTACAACCTAAAAAGCATTGGCAAATTGGAGCTTGCTCTCTTCTGTTGATGTCTGAGACTCTGCAACTGTCATGGCAAGAAATCTGGAATAACCTTCTAGATCATGGTAGTGACACCCACTGCTTACAGCCAACTCTAATGGTAACTACCATGCATGGGGCCATCCAGCTCATCCCACCTCGGCTGACCCAAGAGTTGTACCGAGTTGCAGGAGACAGCTCAGCAGAGATCACCCAAATCCAGCCCGAAGTACTTTTATATCTCTATTCTGTTCAATTTCTTTTATTTTCTTTCTTTCTTTTTTTTTTCCTTTGGTAATTTGTCTGAACTCCATTTGCTTGGACTCAAAATAAAGTAAGTTATTTTAATAGTTTGTTTTCTAATGTAGTTTAGGTAATAGCCTTATATTTACAAAGCTATTTTAATTACTTTGAAAGAAATATATATCCTGCTTAAGATTTGGAGTTATTTTTTTCCAAAGGTCTTTCCTTGATGGAACCCACACTTCCTTGATGGGTTTCAAATATCACATGATGAGAAAAAAATCACAATAGTTGGTGAATTACAGTTAGACCTGTTCCTGTGAGTATTCTCCATTTTTGTTCATGTGAGTATGGAAGTTTCAGAAGGTGGATATTTAAAACACAGCTTTTATGAAAAACAATAAAAAACTGTATCAAATATATTTTGTAATAACTCTCTAATAGCATCTTGAAGTTAAAATTATAACTGGCATTATACTCTGCCAGACAGATTTTCAGAATAACTTTTTTTCCTCCATAGGTTTTTTTCCCCTGAGCTTTCAAAAACACTGGACAATTGCTCAGATATGGTTTATTCACTAAAATACAAAGCTGAATTTACTTCTCCCACACCTTATGTTTTTTCCTTGTCTTCTTTATTTTCTAATTTAGAGCAAAATTTTTAAAAATCTGAACATAGACAACAGAGAGTAGGTCACGAGTGCATGATATTATCGCAAAAGAGAATGTCTTACCTGCCAAAATAACTTCTGCAGTATGTAAACATCCATGTCAAAGGCAACATTAAAGATAATTATTGGGGTAAATAGATCAAAAAAGATTTTTGGACTCATCCATTGTATGGCATCTGCATATATTTGGACCTAATAATATAAAAAAATATGTCATTTTCTCATTTATCCATCCTCCTATTAGATAGATTACATGCCAGGCACTCCTATCTCTAGAAAAAGAGAAAAAGATATATCACAACGAATAGGTGTTCAAATCTTGACTGTATTGCTTTTCATCATTTTCCTTTTTAAAAAAAATATTTATTATTTTAGAGAGAGGGGAAAGTGGAGTGGGGGAGGGAGAGAGAGTCTTAAGACTTAAGCCCCATGCAGGGCTCCATCTTACCACCCTGAGATCATGACTTGAACCGAAACCAAGAGTCAGACACCTAACTGACTGTGCCACCCAGGCACTCCAGATTTTCATAATTTTCCATCGCATTATCTCCATGCCTATTTTGTTTTTTAAACAACAGGAAAAGAAAGTACATTGATAGTGGGTACAAGAGAATATGAAGGAGATCTTCAGGCATACAAGAGGAAGAAAGGTTTCAGGTGGATGGATTATCATGCACAACCATCCACAAAGGAGCAAGCAATCATATTAAATTTCAGAAACTACAAATAATTAACCATGGCTTACACAGAAGATGTGTGTGGGAGAGTAGCAGGAATAAAAACTGGGAAGTTAATGTTGTTAGTGAAATTAACAAATTAATGGTGTTTATCACAAATTATTTAGTTGATATTTGTAAATCCTGTTATGGGCATCCACTCAACATTCTGTTCATTAAGGAAACACAGATTGCCTGCTGTGTTAGGTGGTATCTTTGCTTTGGGAGGGATGAGTCTCCATGAGTCTCTTGTGTTTCTCCATGTCTTATGAGTGGAGGCCCTGATTGCTTTTCTTCCAGACTAACTTTCAAAAGTATTTGTATGGCTAACAGCTTTGGAAGACAGAGCCAAGTGCCCTCCTTGAGAGCAAAGAACTGGCATACTATGCTGTACAGTGTAATAAGGACAGTGTCTCCATTTAGGGCAAGAGGTCAGGAGAGCTTACTGTCCATCACGAAATATTCAAGTTCTCTAAACTCAGGTTTCTTCTCCTCTAATGCAATCCATCATGTATGCAGGTTTCACCGGGCTCTCTTTTTTTTATCCCTGTGGGTATTGGGGCTCATAGAACAAGAAGATGCTGATACTCCAGCTTCTGCTCTTGCCATGAGCAATAAAGTCCTTTTCTTAGGCCCAAGCGTCCCATGTCTTTTGCCAGGATCATGAAACTGTGGCAGGCTAACTTATTATTTGCAAATAGAGTAAAATCTTAGACCCTGCACAGTTCTTGATCTCTGTTCTCTTCTTTTAAAGTTATTGACAAATAGAAAAGTTGATAGAAGTACTTAAAATTGCATATAAGTCAAAATTGTATGGTTACAAAACCTATTGATGACAAATGAAGTAATAATCTGGTTCTTATATGGATACATGTTTTTCATAATGTTCATTAATATCACTGGTTACATTTGTTTGGGAAGGCCAATCGTTTTCATACATGTTCTCATTCACACTCTGATTGACTAGAGTAAGTGGAGAACTATGGCCTCGGGCCACATCTGACTCAATGCTTGTTTTTGTAAAATAAATTCCTATTAGAACACAGCCATGCTTCTCACTTACATATTGTTGAGTAATTGTGACAGAGTTCACGTGGCTTGGATAACCTAAAATATTTACTCTATGGACTTTTATAGAAAAAATTTGTTGCCAACCCAGGGCTAGAGAACTATTTAATGTGTCAATGATGCATTCTACATCCCTTATAGTAAAGAGAGTCTCTCTCCTCTACCTGACTCCAGCTGTTCTCAACTATTTATAACACCGTAGCTGCCTTGACTACATCTGTGGTTTGCCTTCCTCTCACTTCCAACTCCAGGTAAGAGGTTCAGCTTCTGTTTCTTGAGATCTTGTAAGATACACACTTAAAGACTTAGCCTCTATTCTAATGGGAACCCTGTAAAGCATTCCTAACTGAGGCAATAGATTGGTTCAATGTCAGAATTCTCTTGCAACTAGAGTCCTGTACCAGCCGCTCAGGGTCTCTGGGCTTCTATCTTATTAGCCAATTCTTGGGATGCCTGAGTAGCTCAGTTGGTTAAGCATTTGCCTTTGGCTCAAACCATGACCCCAGGGTCCTAGGATCTAGTTCCACATCAAGGCACCTTGCACAGCAGGGAGCCTGCTTCTCCCTCTGCGTGCAGCTCCCCCCGCTTGTGATCTCTCTCTGACAAATGAATAAGTAAAATCTTTAAAGAGAAGAGGCAATTCTCATCTAAGTTTTTGAATTCTGCTTAAACTGTCATTAGCTGCTTATACTCTCAGTAGGTGTATGTGAACTTATTCTCTGAGGTGCCCAACTCCTTACAGATAGAGGCTCTGTTTGACTACGTTTAGCTGAATCTCAGTTCTGTCACCCTTGGTTCCTTTTTTCATGCATCTGGTCTGACGTCATCCATATCACAAGCATCCATAGACTGGCAGAGCAGTGAGTTGGCAAGTATTTTTGCAAATTTCCTTAAGCCATTTTTGTATTTGTATGAATTTGAGATATACTACAAAATACTCATATTTACTATACACACCTGCTCAGAAGTAAAACTTAATATTTCAAAACTGCATCCAATTAAAAATAATATCACAGGGACAGGAACTGCAAAGTCTTTTAAGTGTAGATTCAAAAATGCTGCAAAAAATACATGTTTACTGAAAGGCAGTGATATATCACATTTATGGAACTTTAATTTGATATATTTTCTTAATACTGAGGTCAATGAAATATTGTTCCACTTTTCACTTACTTAATTCCTGTAATTGAAACCTTCTCTCATACTTAAGCATATTGAATTGGTATAATTCTTAATCTGCTGGATTCTGTATTTACCTCTTCTATGAAGTATCTCGTTTCCTCAGTATCTTTAGTAAATATTGCTAGCAGTCATTGGTTCTTGGGTTATTATTAAAATATTTATAGCAATTTTTTGTACATGCTATATATCAGGTACTAGTTTCTTTAGCAATCTTGCAATAAAAGGTTAATAAATAACTAAACTTTAATGAAATCTCCTGGTTGATTCCCAAACTAACAATGAGGAACCAGCTATAAGAATTTGCCCAATGAGGGGAACCTGGGTGGCTCAGTGGGTTAAAGCCTCTGCCTTCGGCTCAGGTCATGGTCCCAGTGTCCTGGGATCGAGCTCCACATCGGGCTCTGTGCTCTGCGGGGAGCCTGCTTCCACCTCTCTCTCTATCTGTCTGCCTCTCTGCCTACTTGTGATCTCTGTCTGTCAAATAAATTAAAAAAAAAAAAAAAAGAATTTGCCCAATGAGAAAAGCTAGCTTCCTATATTTCTGGTTGCCTACTATACATTAGAAAGCCTGTAATGAATTGTTATCAAAGTACAATAAGCAATATCACAGCATTTCCTTCAGTTTAATGCTTTCTGCCTCTTTGTAATATGAGTTTTAATCCAAGAATGAAAAAAAGTGTTTTCTTTTGATTTTTATAGTATTCTTATCATAGAAGGAGGCATAATTTATTATTTGAACAAAACCTATGGGACACCCTACCAAGTGGTTAAAAGATAACCGATCCACTCAGAAGACTCCCCCTCATTTTGAAAATTCTTTGCTCAAGTGAAGAAAGTAGTACACAACTAGTTTTAATATATGAATGAAACTATAGTTTGTGATCTCACAGAGAGCAATCAAAATACCCCATCTCTTAATTTTTGGCTCATCTGCTTTGATTCTTCCCATCATTTAAATCTAATCATGACCTACCAAGTAAAAAGTGTGAATACTTTGAATCCAAAAGATGATAAATAATATGAACTAGACTCTACATATCTCTTTTTCAGGGGCAGATTATCATTGGATTCATTTGGTTGATAATCTTGGGTTAAAAGTATGAATTTAGGAACAAAATTCTAATTTTCTATTACTGCTACTTTCCCCGGTTCTATATGGTGACGTTTACAAGATATAGCCATAGAATAAACTCAAATAAAGAGAGTTATACCTACCTCCAACTGTGCAGACCAAGGACAGTATTAGAATGATTTCAGGGAGATCTTCAGAAGTAGTCATAAACGTACTTGTGAAAAATTCCTGCCACGTGTTAGAAAATCCTCTGGTAAGAAGAGTGAAATTAGACAGACTAGAATTCAAATCCATTCTGCTGTTTCTCACAGACCATTTGAATTCAACTCTTAAGACTCAGCAAAACTCTCACAGGATCACAGGATTGTAAAATTTGCCTTCTTCTTGAGCTTCTAGTACATTTCTTTAAAAAGAAGAAGAAGAAGAAGAAGAAAGAAGCTCACATTTCTCCTTAATTATTACTGGTGATATCTTAGGGTCCAACAAATTTTGGGAAGCCTCTGCCTTCTATGATGCCTACAATTTGACTGAGATATAAAAGGTACAACCCCAAGTGATAGAGACTAGCCAGTGTCACCCTGCGTTCACTTACAATGCCAAGCACTCCTCTGCTGTTATTCACCGTGCATCTACCCAATGGTGTGAAAGGAGTTTTCATCTAACCAGTTACGGGGACCACAGACTAGTGTAGATTACTTAGTTCTGGGGATGGACAACTGAAGGGTTTGCCCTCAGCTTATCTGAGACTCTGGAAGCATGTCTGGCAGCTGTTCCAAATGGGGAAAATGGATATGGTCAGAATATTCTGATCTCTTTTGCTGCTCTCTCCAGACAGGAGTTAATAGACCATGGTGATATTCCATCTTAGCATTCTTTTATCTCATTTAGGTGCGATGAGCCAGGTTTTCTCTGACTTTTGTACATTTATATAGTAACCAAGAACATAAAAAAAATGTTGAAACCAAAAGGATTTAAAACAAGGGAGTTGTTACATGTTCTATCTCATTGTTGCTTCATGGAAGAGGAACAACAAGGGCCACGATGTGTCCTGGGTGTTGGGCTCCGGGAAATGCAGGAGGAACAATAGAAATGACCCCCGGGGCAGTCATCTTCCAGCCTCCCCACCCCCCCTTTCCTTAACCCTTGACTCTTCCACCAAAAGGATGTATGCCCAGGTCACGTCTCCATAGGTAACCCGAAACCTATGCAAGAAACAGAAGTATCAGGACCCCCCAGCCCATACCCTCCGATCAGCAAATACCCTACCATATATGGATGTGAGCCCATGCCCTACCTTGGCCCGATAAAAGACCCCCACCAACTCCCTCCCAGTGCGACTTCCCCCACTCCCCTTTCTGGGAGGAACCTTGCCCAAGGGTGCCCACCTCCTCCCGGGGCAACTTTCCTGGCTCCCCTTCTCCCGAGCCCTGAAACTTCACTGGAGAGTGCCTTTAATAAATCTTGCCTTGCGCCCACTTCTCCTGGTGTCGTGTTTATCTCGCCTATAAAACCTTACACTGGGATGTGTCTTGGTTTGAGGAAATAAGTGATAATTACAGTCTGTAATACCATCTGCTTCCCATGCTAAGGAGTGTTTTATATCAGGGTCTTAAAATTCATGCAGGGAATTCTTCCAATTCTATCTCCTAACAGTGACTTAACATTTTCTAGTGTCCTCCATTAGCATCTTATCTGGCTGCCATGCTAAATTAGTTCATTTTTACCAAACTTCCTTTTCTAATCCAGAAATGTCTTTTGAAATTTCAAAGTTCAATGTCTTTTTAAATTTTAAATACTTTGTTATTATATACCCTTTTCTAATTATAAAAATAATATTTTGAAAGAGAAAATTAAATGAATACATGTTTACTGAACACTTCTGAAATAAAATATGTAAACAAACATTGCCAAAAACAGGGGGAAAAAAATCAACCACAGTCCTGCCATCTCATTGTTCTTGTATTATTTACACTGTTGGGCTCATCTTTACACTAATATACTTTATACTGCTTTGCACTCGGTGTTCTATCAGTAGCCTTAAAGAGCCTCATAAACACCATTTATAAAGGTTGTATCATATTAGCACCAATGTAAAAGTGCCGACTGTGGTCAGACTGCCGGTAAGCAAAGGGCTGATGGGCTACAGCTTACAGGGTGAAAGACTCTGGGCAGCTTCCTTCACGGCTGTTGTCCTCAGTCTTCCTATGTGTATAGGTCCCTATCTGTGAAACTTATCTCTCTGTGTCTATTTTATTTATTTGTCATCACCTGTGGTGTTATAATGATACTGATGCCTGGGTCCTATCCCCGGAGATTTCTGTTTCAATCAGTCTGACTAGCAGCCTGGGCTTCATCAGCAATTTTAATGTGCAGTCAAAGTCAGCAGCCACTGGGATTCACCCAATCCAAAGGCAAAATTCCTCCATTTTTAGTCTCAAATCATTTCTTTCTCTCTTTTTTCAGTGTTTAGCAATTTTGTTTTATTTTTTATTTTTTCAAACTTTAACTTTTTTTTTTAATTATTTTATGTTAGTCACCACACATCATTAGTTTTTGATGTAGTGTTCCATGATTCAAACAATACTGGAAACACATCTGAAGTTTTAAGTTGGGTTCATCATTTGTTGCAGTAAGTTCCCTGGCGAACTGTGGTGTGTCTCAGTAACAGGATGTTGAAATTATTGTGCATCTGGGCTCTGGCTCGGTGATTCTGGAGAAGGTCCAGAAAAATAAGAGTTTGCTATAGATCGGTGCTGTCAGGAAGCAAGGATAATTCTGTGGCTGGGTATCTTAACTTATGTATAGGGAGGGCAGACTAGAACAAGGATAAAGCTGTCACCGGTAAAGAAGCAGAAGTCACTCATTTTAGCCAAGAGAGGGGTTGTTTGGTATCTGTGGGTTGCCTGGTGACTTTCTGTTTCACTTTTAAGGTTTAGAGGGATCTCATGATGTTGATGTTCTGTGAGATTGTGTCCAACAGGAGAATAATATGGCCCATGTATGAGCAGCAGGCCAGCTGGTCGTGACACTGAGGGATACCTAGCTTTGAGTGTTAGACCAGTTCCCTGATGTCAGGGGCTTCTTCTGTGTTTGCCTAGTTTTTGTTTTTCCTCGAACGATTTCTAAATTCCTTAATTTTACTTTAACATGTCAAGAACTGAAGATAGACCCAGATATCTTGATAGCTGTATAGCTCTGATGGAACAGAGCAAGTATGGCTATCCCCCTAAGACAGAGATTCTCAACCTTGGTGCCACACTGGAATAACTTAGAGTTTTAAAAATACAGAGGTGGGGTTGCCTGGCTGGCTCTGTGGGTAAGGCGTGGGACTCTTGGTCTCAGGTTGTAAATTTGAGCCTCATGTTGGGTGTAGAAATTACCTAAAAATAGGATCTTTAAAAAAAAAAGTACAGATGTATGGGTGGCACTCCCAGAGGTTAATCTAATAGGTCTGAGGTCTAACCTGGGTATTGGGAACTTCAGAAGCTTCCCAGTGATTCTAATGAGCAGCCATTATTCCGAAGCCCCGCCCTGAAAGAAGTCCATGCCTTTAGGAAACAACACTGTGATAGTTTAATGATACTTGCTTTTAGTTAAATGCCAAACTATTTAGAAAAATAATGTCAATGTCACCTATTAACTTGCCCACTGTTATTCCAAAATTAAACATCCTGGAGCAAAGAGGCTTGACCAAAAAAGGAAAAGTATTTTCTGCAACATAGTTACACATTCTTACATGCTTGCAGAATTTACTACAATTAAGGAGTTTATTTTCCAAGCTAAAAGTAGGGAGACATGTTCCCATAAGCATTTTCCTTATTTCTAAAATTGTTTATATGAAAACTTTAAAAAGTGTTTATATATTTAATCCTGATCAACTCCTTTCAGAAAAGAAAAAAATTACTCTGTCTTCATTATCCTTGAAATTCAGGGATACAGATGATCAAGTTCAACTGAATTTCACTATCTGGCTGTAAATACATGGCAAACACTCAGTCTGGCTTTTCCAACCTCTACGCCAAATTCTCCTGGCAAACCTCTCACCCAACGAAATGATCTCATTTTAAGTTAGCATGTAAATGCTAATATTACTCTAGTTTAATATTTTAAAAGGTATGGGTAAAGAAATAGCGTGAGACTAAACAGATTTTCAATGTTCATTGAAACTCTTCTCAAGGTTCAGCTGACTTTTGACAACTTTGGAGAAGTTTATGAGTCTGTGTCTCATTAAAAGTATTCATTTGTCTTGAAATCACCATATAGGTTTCCTACATTAATTTTTCAATAAATTCGATAATGCCTCCATTTCCACTATGCATGGAGTAAATTCATGACTGCTCTCTCAGAAAGGGCATGTAGCCTTGCCTCTCAACAGTCAGTCGGCCTTAAGAAATTCTCTCTGTCATGGAAAAGTGGAAGTAAGACTAATTCTCTGTCCCTGAAAATGGAAGGTCTTTTTTTCCTTCTAATCACCACATTTTTCAGGAATTCACAGACAAAAGCATCTTGAGGAGGGCACAGTGGCATCCCAGTAATCTTCACAAGGGGCAAACTCTGGCCTAAAGGTTTATGACAGACCACCACCGGGGTCCTGCCACATCACACAGCAGCCCTTACTCACGACTCTAACTGACATGGACGGTCTGTCGCCCTCCTAATGCCTCTTCACTCCCAAGGAGCCCTTCGTCCCTCTCGGCTCAGCTCCATGCACCTGAGGAGACTGATCAGGACATCAGCGTGCTTTCCTCTCCCTGCCTCAGCAAGGCAAAGGTAACAAACCTATAAACCAGATAGTTTGGAAGGGATGATAAAGGAAGAGTCATGGAGGAGGGACAGCGGTTGAGGCGCAGCAAGTCCAAATGAGAGGCTCGTTTGCCTTGATTTGGCTGCCACAGGAAAGGTGGAAACTCTTCGAGGGAATGGCTGGCTGAATGGGTAGCTGGAATACTGTGGGAGCATTTTCTCCTTTCCAAGGAAAGGCTGAGGGAGCAAAGTACCAGAGGGGAAGGACAACTTCCTGAAGGGAAAACTGCAGGAGGGCTCACCGTCCAGAGTCTCAGGAAGAGTATCCTGGGGTAGTGAGAAGTGGAGACTAGCTCTTCTTTTCACCCCAGAACAGCCCAATCAACTGCAACCTCTCTGGCAGTTACTTGCTCCGAGCCCCGCCCCTGGTCTGCACCCATTGGCTTCAGGTCCATAACTCCTGACCTGATTGGCTGATGAAATACATCAGAAGATGCTGCTCAGCACCACTGCCCCTTTACTTCCAAGGCAACCGTGGACGACTTAAGACC